AAGACCTCCCGGTACGGCACCGGTACACGAACTCATAGCTAAATTTTCATTTATAACTTCGGTTATTAGGTTGCCAGGTAACGCCCAGTTCTGTTCACACGCGTTGGCCCACTCGGCCACAGTGCCACTAATTTAGGATGATCGGAAATGTACTATGGATGGCTGGTTTGGATAAGTTGCCAAAGAAACCACTTCAACTTTTTATTAAGTTGGGAAACAGAGGCATCCCTACAGATCCTGGACATGACATTTCCAAGAAAGAGTTTGGTCAAAGTTGGTCCAAGGCAGGATTTGAAATGATATTTTAACTTTTATTTTTAAACAGTTTCGGTATGAATGGATTCTTTATTCTAATTTGTTTTGTGTTATTTCAGAATTTTAACAAGAACTCTTTCCCTCACTAATTTTCGAGTAAAGGTTTTACAGAACTTCAGAATTTTTATAAAATATCTAAAAAAAATACCTTTATTCTTAGCTACTCAAATAAATGAAACATTAGAATATAGTAATTCATTTATGACAAATTATAATTCTAATCTATGCACAATGCAAAAAAACTGGAAAGACTGAACTTTGCAGGAATGTTTAGAACAAGAAAAATTTGTCCTCAAATGCAAAAATAAGGCATTACTGCACAGTAGCAAGACCTGTAATATTACATGGTAGGGAAACAGTCAGCCTTCCGAGCCTAGAGAAAATCCTGAAGATTGAGAGGAAGATTCTGAGGAGGATTTACGGATCCAAGGTAACGCAAGAGGGATACAGATTAAAATCTAATATAGAAATATAGAAGACTGAAATTCTATGGGCATATGGTCAGGATGAATAGTGAAAGACTGAACAAGAAAATTGTTTACAAAGTTTGCAGCTATAGAAGTATGGGGGATATGTAAAACAAATTAAAGAGGAACTAGACAGGCTAAAAATCACGGATAAAGATTGCTTGGATAGAGACCTTTTTGGGAAAAAACTGAAAGGCGTTGGGGTTCTTGTAGGTGGGAGGGAGAGACAAGGGAGAAATTTGACTAAGGAAGAATGAGAGAAACAGTTCAGGAGGATGAGAGAGTATAAGAGGAAGGGCTGAGGGTGTGAACAGGAAACAGAAATGATATTCGCGTGGTCCTTCCTAGCCGGTTCATGTAAAAAAAGTTAGACTTTTTACCATAAACCTAGAACTTTAGTAGAAAGAAGTTTGTTTCAACTTTTTTTCCTAAAAATTTTCAACTGCAGATTAAAGGTGGTTCTAAGATTTTTGAAAGTTAGATAGAATTTCTTGAGATTATTATTCAGGAACATAGTTATAATACATATTTGGAACAGTTTTAGGGAGATGGTTAAAACCTATTACAATGGCATTTGTCTACTCCAAATTCAACTTTTAAATAATGCCCAGTGACTAATTCAAGTCCCCTCTTTCAGTTTCTTTGTAGCTGGCAAGAAGATAAAAGTAAAGAAGGAGGGCTAAATTAGAAATTTGTCAGGACAGATACGGTAATGAGTACTTTATAATGATTTTTCAAAATCAGTTTGAAAAGAACTTTATTCCTCAGTTTTCGGGAGTATCTTAGCTTGAAAAAAATGTCATTACAGGCTGTGTAATTCTAGTGTTAACTCTGCAGAAGTTTGAAAACACTAAAAGACAAATTACTACAATATTTTTACCACCATTTGTGACAACTTTTGTTCGGCACATTGATCAAAACATAACAGAGGCAACAAAGAAGATTTACGAGTCTAACTTGCAAAAGAAGATCATGATAGGGGATCTTTGTGCTTTTTGGAAGGTTTTACTATCTTGGATAGTATTTATGACATTGCAGCTGTATGATGATCAATATAACCATTTGCTTCCTTGAAGTCATGGAGAAAACTATAGTTAAGTGAGGAGTATAATTTATGCAAAAAGAAGCAACAACAAAATATGGCAAAGAACAAGACACTGGCACATTAAATTTTTAACAAAAAACTGTTTCTGGGGAGAAAACGTCATTGATTGGATGAGCTGTGAGGATGATGGTGGCTTTCAGCACTGTACTGTGAAGAGGACATTGTCAATAAAAAAAAAGGTACTGAAAAAGTTGATAATGAACCAAGAGAAGACAAAGATTTGAATTGAATTTCAACTGTTAATTTGATTAAAATTATAATCAACATTCTATTTGCTAAAATTGAAACATAAATTTGTACAGTTAATGCCAAATATATAGTTCAGGTTTTAAGATTAGATTGGTGTAGCACTGATTTGAAAGAAATCATTTTTCAAAGGAAAATTTTCAAAGAGATGTTTTCATAAACTTTATAGTTATTCATCTAGCAGTTCGTTGCTGTAATGATTGACTGAGCTTTTTTTACTTTTTTTTTTTTTTTAATAGATCTTAAATCTATATATTATTATTGTACAATGATTTCCAGCTGGTCGTAAAAATATTGATGATATAAACAGTTATAATGCACAATACATTTATCATTTTGTTTATAATAATAAATATAGATAAATTAACAATCATGATAAAACAGTTTGAGAAGACTACGCCACCAGCAATCGACACTAATACAGCCACAATAACATTATGATTATAATTAACACCAATACTTGTTTTATAACATAAATATCTGATAAATACTCTTGTGTTCGTTAATTATATTCTATTTAAATCTACAGCTATATGCATGCGTTTGAGTGACAAATATAAACATTTAACCATTTAACTAACATTCGATAAAAATATACGGTGATACATTTACAAAGAATACATGTTTATATATAAATATAAAACAGCTCATTAAATAAACACGAATTATTACACATCAACAGAGTTGGATCGAACTTTGTGTAGACCTTCAACTACAACAATTTAGTTTACAATCAAAAACAATATATTTCAATTTCCAAATTGCAATGTAAGGAAAAAGTGGCCATTTTTAATCACTTCTTAGAAAACTTTTAATTTAATGTTTATAATTATACTGTGCAGATCCGAACCTAATCAAATCCCTAAAAGAAAAAGCTGCCCAAACTTCAAAAAGAATCACTTGGAAATTAAGTACTGTTGTCGGACGGAATAATACCTCTTAGATATTTATTCAAAACTTTATCAGATCAATAAATACATAATTTAGATCAAAATAATTTTGAAAGTATATAGAGACATTACATATTAATTGATTGGAAATAAAAAAACAAATTCTTTAATGGTTGCTACTTTTATTTGTATCACAATATACTTTATTATTATAACAAGGCAAAGTTAATGTTATGTTAATGGTTTAGTAAACTTTTACAGTAAAATCAAATACACAACGTATGTGTGAAAATGATTTAATTAAGTTTTATTTAATGAGCGTACGTAACCACACAAATATAACTTCTTAAAATACATCTATTATATATAGGATCCATTGAAAAAACAGACGTTAACATTTAACTACACTTTAGTAAATGAAGAGTTCGGCCGAATAACTATGCCATATTTTTGTGAAATCAGATTTTTAACTTAATTAATTTTCTATAGTTTTCTATTTGTATGTTCTTGCCAAAAGTCATAAAACTACCATTAGCGTAAAAAAATTTTATTTAGCACAAAGCCATTAACATAAAAGATTGATGGAATAATAGTCTACGTTACTATCAGACAAAACACTTCTTAGGGGTCACTTGTTGATATCACTTATAAATTGATATATATATATATATATATATATATATATATATATATATATATATATATATATATATATATATATATATATTTAAACCAATATTCAGTCGAATCCTTCAAATGTCATTAATGAAATGACAATAGAACACCTAATAGTTTATAATGTTGTAAGTAAAAATCAAAGAAAAATGTATAAGTTACAATTAAGTCAACATCGTGTAACTTCACTCCGATTTTAAAATAACTAAAAAGTTCTTCAACAATTGGATTGAATTACAAGTCAAACACATTGTCAAAAAAAACAACAACAAAAAAAAACTCAAAAACATGAAGTCACCCCTCTGTGTTAATATGAAAAAATTAAATAAAATATATAAAACTTGATGAAAAAATCGTAACTATACAAGATAAAATACAAAAATAGGCACAGGGACTTTTATACTCTTAATCCCAAGGTCTCCCACATTTCCCACACCACGCTACAACCTCTCTTTCTTACTTAATATGTTTTGTCGACTTATGACAATCTGGGGAAAAACTGGGTGAACCTATATATATTTCCTACTCTAATAACTCTAACTGCATCCATCATAGGTAAATATTGAGACTCAGTAAAATATACCTGCCAAAACAGAGAAAACTTTTAATTCAAAGTTACCAAGACCAGTCCGAAGTCTCATCACGTACAAAAATGTTCCCATTATTTTTATACACATAATATATTCACAATAATGAATAAAAAATATTCTCTACTACCTACAACCGCTTACTGCTTATTTATTTATGGAAGAAGCTCGATAAGTTGGAATTTTTATTCAATTAAATAACTCAACATATAATTTGAAATTGAAATTCTATAATCTATAACTTCAAATAAAATTTTCCTCCTTTCAATTTTAAATTATTGACTTTTCATTGCAGTAATAATGCAATAAACAAAAATTGGATAAATAACAAATAAATATCAATTCTTTAAATATGATCCTTAATAGTTTTTCCGTCTAAATAAGAAACTTAAACAATTGAAAAATAAGAAAAAATATTTAAAAAAAAAATATCAAGTAAATAAAAATTAATGTTTTAGCAACTATTTGATAATTAATAGCCATATTTAAAAAAAAACAAATGTATATCATTTAAATTTATATGATCCTACTACTCATATAAAAGACAACAAAATAGATGTTAACCGTTTAGAAACATACAAAACACCTCAAATCTAATTCAAAGGCATGCATTTATAACATCTATAAATATTTCGTAACAATTTACAATATATATATATATATATATATATATTTAATATAATATATATATATATATATACATAAAAAGAAAAATTTATGTTGAAGTAGTCTTCTTTTCTTTTTCTTTCTCTTTCTCTTTCTCTTTACTTCTCAAAAGATGGTGTATTATAATATACATTGGGTAATCGAAATCGCTGTCTAAAGTCAAAACATTTATTTCCTGACCTCGAAGTAGAGAAACATTTAGCATACCAGATGAAGCAAATCTTTTTACTTGCCTCTTTTCATTCAAGTTCATCACTTCAACTCTGAAATAAAATAAAATTATTAAGGAAATAATTTACATAAATCATAATTCAATGCTGAAAAGTTATTAACAATGATTTTTTTTTTTTTTAAGTCTACTCTAAAAGACAATGAGGAAGTAAACAGGTTAGTCACAAACTTACACACTGTTCTACACTTACTTCAAAACGATATGGTGCGGAAGGTAGCTATTGGCAAATTCGAGTTGTGACCTATTCCTCCTCAATGTAACAATGTTATCGCACATGGACCACACCAAGTCAATACCGAATGAAAATCCACTCCATCTCCAAGAAAGAGAGTCTTGAGTGGAAATGACTCGCCCACAGCGATAACAATTTTGTAAAAATTCGCTTTCCTCAATACTTTCAACCCTGAAAGTGAAAAAAAATTATAGAAAGAAATGAAATTATGTCACACTAGAAACGGATGCGTTACATGGAGGGTGAAGCCCTAAGCATCCAAAACCAGAAAAATCTCGCTTTTTAAACACATTTTTGAAATATTAAATCAAATCTCACATATATTTCACTAAAATATGGTTGTAGAGCAACTTTTCATGAATAAATATAAAAATAACTTTATAACCATTCTTGGCTCTGTTCGAGCTGTTTTTCAATAATACTTTTTTTTTTTTTTTTACGGTACTGTGGTTTCCACAAAAAAGTTATACTTTTAATCAAATTTACGTATTAAGACACTAAGAGAAGCCACATTTAAATCCTGAAACAAGGCTCTACAATAAATAGAAGTCCAATTACTATATGTTCAAAAACTAGTGGGCTCATATACGAGTCACGATTAAATAGGGACCAGGTGACAGTGGACTCATATAGAATAGAATAGAAAATAATTTTGTTCTGGGACGAAGTCCCTTCAGAATAACAAAAAATTACAAAATTAAAATGTTGTATCTGGCCAAATAAAAACAAACATAAAAAGTAAAGATAAAGATAAATCAGTAAAAAAAATATTAGTTATACATACTATATACAAAATAAAAAATATATATATATATATATACAAAACTCTTGAAACCTTACCAAGACACTTAAAACTATGTACAATGGAAAAATATAAATATACACTTTTAGAAAAAATACAGATTCTTCTTAGCAGTAAACTCTGTGTTTCTGTTGAAAAAAAAAAAAAGAAAGTCGAATCTATAATAAGTATTTAAGTTATGAGCTATATGTGAATAAATTATTATGAATAATATGTAATCTTACATAAAAGGTTAGCTGGTATCTGACTGTTTTTGGGACAGAAATTGGAATAGGAGGGTTTTGAATGTAGATAGGGATGAAGAATGGCGAATTTTGATAGGAAGGGAATTCCAATAGTTTTAAGTGTTTTGTATATAGATTTTTTTTTTTTTTTTTTTTGTATATAGTTTGTTTAACTAATATTTTCTTTACTTTCTCTTTTTTATTATTGTTTTATTTTGGCCAGATGAAGTATTTTAATTATGTTCTATTTTGTTATTCGAAAGGGACTTTGTCCCAGAATAAAGTTATTTTCTATTATTATTATTATTATTGCCCATTTATGGCATCAAATTCAGCCGTTCCGCAGCTCTTTCAAAGAACATTTTGTTGGTGAGATTTTAAAATCTTTTTCTACGCTGCTCAAAAAAAGGAAGAAACTCATGAGACGCCCTAATATATATGAACAGATTTTTCATAATTTATATTAACTATTGTAAGTTTGTATTTATAATTAAAGTAATATTCTCAAGGTTTATTAATTTAAAAAAAATAAATAAATTCTACAAGAAGCAGGGCGGTAAGTAACAGTTGTGTGATGCATCATACAAAAATTTCATTGGATTTAATTTAAAAAATGATTTTTTTTTTCCGCTAACGCACCTTAACTATAATTAGTACTACATAGACAAGATAATTTTATTCTAGAAAAGTTAAAAATTGAAGACTATAATGGTTAAGGTTTAAAAGATTCATAAATTTAAAGATATATATATATATATATGTGTGTGTATATGTTTGTGTGTGTGTGTGTGTGTATATATATAAAATATAATTTACCCTTTATTTCCAGAAAATATATCCAGCATCGCTAACCATTGATTTTTAAAAGAAGCCTGAAACCAAGATTCAGGAATAATTCTATCAGCGGTAATTATAGGAACATCGTGAGGATGGAGAATCAAATTGTCTAGTCTTAGATTTCGAAAAATATTCAAATATGGTAATCCTTTGCTGGTTAGAAGAAAAGCATTGGTTTCTAAAAAAATATGGAAATTTGATTATTGAACTTCAAAATAAAGCCAAGGTCATTGATAAAAAATATATTCTAAGATACACTTTTAGTTTACAGATAGCTACCTTTTGACTTTTTGAAGAATATCTCGCAAGGGTCATTTTTACAGGTTGTTAAGTCAACATCTGGATGAAGTTGTAGATACAACCATTTTCGAAGAAGAAAATATAAATTCATTTCAGTCTGAATTATGCATAGTCCTGGGTGGCTGACTATTGCGGACATCAAATCAATACTTGAATCAACAAAGTTGATTGTTAATAAATTATAAAATTGTTTGAACATAAAATATAAATAAGAAACGGAGAAAAATCGATAAAAAATGATGTGGCTCAAAATATCTAAAATTCATTCCTGAATGAAATTACTACTGTTGATAACAGCTTAATTATTTTGGAATAACAAATAAAAGCCTCAACATGAAGAAAATAGTTTGTCTGATACATCTTCCTTATTCTGATTTCAAATTAAGCAACAATTTGAAAATTAAACACAAATTAATGGCAACTTACTCAATTTCTCTCAGCCTTTTTGGATTTTTAGAGTAATAATCAATAATATTAACCAAAAACCAGTTAAGTACTTTTTCTTTAACCTTTTGAAGCCCATAATTACAGGCTACTTGGTAATACTGAACTGCAGTCTGAAATAAAATAATGTAATAAAAAAATAGATACAAACACATTTTACAAAATAAACAGAGTTTAATAGAAAAATATAACACAGAGGATAATCCATAAGATGAGTCAGAAGTGCTGTCACCATTCAAGAAAGATTCAATACAAACAAACATTGTACCACACAGTAGCTTTAAAAATAACTCATTCATTCACTTCATAACTTAATTGTTAAAAGATTTATTTGCTTTGAAGGGAGACCAGAAGTATAAAAACTTAAAATCAATATATATTTAGGATATATTGATCCATAATGGTTAGTAAGAGACTACATGTGAGACCAAAATCGAGGTGGATAGATAGAATCAATAAATTTATAAATATAGTGTTGTATATGACAAGCTGAAAAGCAGTGATCAAAGAAAGGCAGAGATGGAGAAGGTAAGTTCAGGCAGTCAAAGATCTACAAGATATGTAAACGCAGGAGAAAAAAAATATATATTGAAAATTGGTTTGCCAAATTTCATTCAGGAAATGTTGACATCAATGATGCTCAACGGTCCAGTTGCCCACATGAAATTGAAACAAGCAATGTTAATGCCATTATTGATCAAAATCCCACCCAATCAGTGCAGGAAATTGCTATGGCCCTAAATGTGTCGCATACACAAGCATAAAAAAACATTTGCACAAGCTCGGCTATGTTTCCAGGCTCAATGGTTGGGTCCCTCACTCTCTAACCGAAGTCAAATTGGCAACACGCATTTCTGTTTGTGATTCACAACGGAAACGGCAACAAAACCACCCATTTTTGAAAATGTTGGTAACAGGAGATGAAAAATAGATATTTTACGATAATGCAGTCCGTAGAAAATTTTGGGGACCTAGTAGAGGCTCCAAGAATAATGTCAAAATCCAGATTGCAACCAAAGAAGATAATGCTTTCCATATGCTGAGATTTCAAGAGTGTTATTTTCTATGAGCTATTGCCATCGGGACAAACAATTGATTCAACTCTATAACGCTTACAATTAACAAAATTGGATCAAACAATTAAAAATAAACGCCCAGAACTGGCAAATCAGAAGAAGGCTGTTGGTGTTCCACCAAGATAACGCTAGGCACCACACCTCATTGGTCCCTCGCAATAAATTATTGAGCCTTGGATGGGAACTTTTGCCCCACCATCCCTATCCACCAGACCTAGCTCCAAGTGACTACCACTTATTCCGGTCTCTGCAGAATTCCATGAATGGAAAGAAATTCCAAAAGGGAGAGGACATCAAAACCCACTAGGATCAGATTTTTAACAATAAACTCCAGATATTCTATGAACATGGCATTATGCAGTTTGTGGAAAGATGGGACGAAAAAGTCATATTAAATAATGGTCAATATATTGTAGATTAAAATAAATTTTATGTCTATAATACATTGAGTTTTATTTCACCTGAAAAACTGAAAGGACTTATTAAAGGACCAACCCAATATATCATGATAGTCGATTAACGGTTGAATGTAGTAAATAATTGACGAGAAGTGGTTCCGGTTTTAAATCAAAATACAAAGTCAAAATAAATAACTTATATTTTATATTACAACCACTTCTCTCCAATTATCATAATATATCATTCTCTTAATAAACAACTTAATATTTAGGTTAACTTAAGGTCATGAGCCAATAAACTTACGACATCTTTGGAGCTTCACTGAAACTATAAGCCTACAAGAATTTTTGGCTTGTGTAAAATGCTAGTTCATCTTAAAAGTTTATTTTTTAAATTTTAGGTCTGGTGATGAAAACAACAATTAAAAATCAATAATAGTATGGGGATGGTTGACTGTAGATTCTGATTTCAGAAGAAGTTAGTCAGCGGGCGGTCAATGCAATAAATATACTATTAAATAATATAGTATTTTTAACCGCACCCCCAGACTAAAAAATCAATAATTAATATCTTACCACAGGTGAAGCAGACTCATACATTATTTCACAACATTGCTCTATAAGACCATCCATTTGAAACATTGTAGAAGCAGCTAAAACTCCAACAACCATGCACGGTTCCAACTTTACTTCATCCAGATAAAATGAACCTAAGACGATAGTCAAAGCTGTAAACAAAAAATAAGAAATCTGTCAAATACAAAAATATTTAATCATATAAAGAGTAACCAAAATAAATAAAAGAATTACCATCTAAAGTAATATTGGGATCTTCCACTACTATGCTTATATAATCCTTCGAAGATTCCTTCCATGATCCAGAAAACATACTATTGAAATACTGGCTCTAAATTAACATTAAAAACATTACTATACATAAATAACAAATTAAATGAATAGTCGCAATTTTCAATAAGTAATAGCAATCATTACCTGTCCCAAGTAAACTCTATGTAGCTTAAAATCTTTATTTAAAATATTTACAGTAATGTCACTGTCTTTGCCGTCCACAAAAAGAGCCTGATAAATATAATGAGCAGTCGACAGTAATTTTTTTCTAAAAACAATAAAGGAATATTACATAAAACAAAACACAGAAATTTAATAATTCCTATTTCAAGTTTACCACCAGAAACATCAGAACTATAAAAATCAAAATTGTCTAATTACTATTGTTTTTATATATTTTTTTAACCCAACTCCCATCCTGGATATATCAGTTAGTCAATATAATAATTAATTTAATATAGTAATTATGTGGTAATTATAATGTGGAAATTTGAATCAGAATGGCAATTATCGATTCTGCAGAGATAGAATAATACTTACCCTTTTACAAATATTACATGAATTACTGTAATATATAATTTTAATTATCTTTATATAAAATATATTTAATTCTAAATGTGTAATGAATGTCTTTTTGGTTTATTGTCACTACAGCATAATTAAAATTCACATTCACATTTTGGATTGATAATTGCTAATTTCAAATTAATTTTATATAATGTTCTAATCTCTGGCTAAAACAATGTATAAAAACCACGTATACATTGTGACCACTGTTCTTGTTTGACTAATTGTGAATAAAACATTACAATCACAATTCAACGAAAGAGGGATCCGCTTGTTAAGAATGAATTGATTAATTTGCAAAGCATTCATCATTCAGGCACTGCCTTCTTCATTATATATTCTTAACATGAGTGGTTATTAAACATCTAATCACTCAATGTTATATCATTAGTTAATCACTAAATAAATTAATGGAATCTTTAATTTTCAAAACAAATTTTAGCACCTAATAAAAACAACACTAAGTATTAGACTAAAAAATGGCATTACAGGATTGAAATCATAATTTAAAGTATTGTTTTAAGCAATTCCAACTTTAAACTATAACTGCTTTCAATTTAGATGAAAATGACTATTTGATTTTTTATTAAATCTTCAAATTTTCCAATGGTATTTCTAATTAATTAATAAAATTAATAATTTCAAGGAAATAACTTATTAAACTATTTCACCTCCTCTTAATGTTTCAATTCATTTTATTTATTACAACAATGTTTTAGGCCAACTTTGCCTATTTTCAAGTTGAACTTTTTACATCCTTATCTTATCCTCACCTTCTTCAAATAATTATTTCATAACTATTTATGAGAAGCCCATTCCACAATTTAAAAATACTTTTGGACATGTCTCACTAGTTAACAATTATTTTTATTAAAAATTTCTCTTAAACCAATGACTTCCTGTCCTTCAGTATCATTTAATAACACCTCACTTATTTCTGTTGAACAAATCCATTACCTAGGACTCCACCTGGACAAACGTCTAACTTGGAATCCTCATACCAGACTGACACGACAAGAAACTGCTCGACGTTTCCGGCTACTTCAACACTTACTAGACAAACGTTCTAACCTCCCAATTAATAACAAAAGACTCATATACATGATTATAATAAGGCCTATTTGGACTTACTGAGTTGAGCTATGGGGCTCCACCAAACCTTCAAATTTCTCTCGTATCTAATCCTTACAATCCAAAATCCTCCGTAAAATCCTCAATGCACCTTAATTTGTTACAAATAAAATCATCCACAATGACCTTAATGTTCCTTATGTATCAGATTTGGCCCAATCCATATATCTATCCTTCCATAATAAACTTCATAACCATCCCAACCCTCTTGTTCCTAACCTTACTTCCTATTCAATTCCTGATAACCCTCTGAGGCGTCTGAAAATAAGATGGCCCTGTGATCTCCTATTATAGACATATTATTAGAATGCTAAAAATGGGTAGTTTCTCAACATGTGTTTCATATAATTATATCCATGTACGAATTTACTAGATGTATTTATTTTTTTTTTTATACAGTCGTAAATATCATATAAATAATAATAATAAAAATTAAAAATTGTATTCCAATGCTATACATTTTCGTCCTATCTTTTTAATACCCGTATGTCCAATATTTGATAACTTTTCGCAAACAAAAACTGTATGCAGTGGCATACTTAAACCAGACCATTAGGAACCTGGGAAGATTAATTTTACTAAAAAAAAGAAAGAGGTAATTTTTGTATAAAAACAATTTAAGTCCCTTGTTCTGCGGTCCCATAAGTGGAGCCAAGGGTGAACGCCTCCTTCTAGCCCCAAAAGATGCCAATGCCCTTAGGTAATCAAAAAAAGGGCAGAAAGAGCGCTACTTCAAAAATATTGTCAACATTAATAGTAGGGTCAAAATCTCATCATTACACTATAAATGGAATTCTGAGAATGACTGAATGTAGATGAATGTGATCAAAATGGCTGTGAATGTCCCGACCTTAACTAAAAAGGACCTCTTGAGGACTAGTCTATCCTTTTCAAGTGAGCATAGTGAATGGAGATAAAAATCAGCGTTATAATTATGGGCCTCAATTTTAATTGAGAAGGACCTATTTAGAGTTTGTGAGTTGTGAATCATAATCTAAATAAAGGGAGGCTATGCTGGTATGCTGAATTGAAGTGGCTCTATCCAGTTTTTCGACAGTAATGTTTCTTAGCCTGTATTCCTTTTCTAAACCTTTACAAATAAAAAACCTACATACCTTCTTGATATGATTATTTCTTTGTCCATATTCTCTGAACAGAAGATCCCATTTTAAAATATCCTTTGTAATGCTACCTTGTATTGGTATTTCTTGATTTCTTACTCACCGGCTTACGCAAAAGCTCTTCATTAACTTCTTTTAAGCATCAATTATTCATCAATCTCTTCATTAATCAATCTTTAGAATATATGTAAGATTTAATTTTTTTTATCCAAGTGTTTCAGGCTCATTTTACTGTCATTTCACAGATGTCTGTCAGGTTACTCATCAGTACAGTTATGTGAACATACTGATAATTATTTGTCTATAATTTTACTAATTTACTTATGCTTGTCCTTTACATTAATTCTAAGTTTACATCAATCTGTAGTATAATTATTTCTTGTCACTTTTTTTTATTATTTTTAGGGGACAAAATGTCCCAGAATAAAATTTGATTTTCTTCTTCTATAATATATGAACACATACTACCATTCTTCGAATTCTATATAATGTCATCATGAGACCTTGTGCCCACCAATCTAAGTGGAGTAACACTTATGAGTATGATTCCAAAGGTACAATCAAACATATCAGAGTAAACAGTTCAAGATTCATTCCGCCGATACAGCACAAAATAAATTTCAACCTGCCTAGTGATTTGAACCAGCACTGCTAGACATGAGAATAATGAAGTGGTCAACGCCTTAATACACTTGGCCACCACTGCCTCTTATATATTAAAATGTCTGTGACTTTTAATACAAATTTATAAAATATTGGCTTCTAAAATTACATTCACAGAACTGAACCTCTCAGAAAGGAGTATTATTTTACAAGTTTTTCTGCATTTTGATGGGTAGGCACAAATCTCAAGATACACTAAAAATGAAATTCTGTGTATGGCTGAGTATATCTGAAATTAAAATTGTGATCTCAACTGAAAATAACTTGTTTGGGGTTCAGTTTGTTCTTACCTGTTGAGTTAGCAAAAGTCAAAAGAAGCAATGTAACTAAAGCTAATTAAGGACCTGTTTTTTAACTGAAAAAGACCATTTGGATATTTGAAGAAATCGTTAATCGGGATCTAAATATAAATAAATTCTGCCCATTTAATTCTATATTCAGCCATTCTTAAAATTCCAATTCAAGTGTGATCGTGAAATCATTTCTCCAAGCATCAAAGTGGAGCAGCACTTGCAATGTAATACTATCGATCGATGTCGTAGATGGAAAGAAAACTAAGGTTTTAGATGATTGCTTAAATTCCATTGTCAAATATTCTTGTAGTACGAAAGGTTGGTGAAAACATTATTTTGACTAGAACTTCTATTTTCTAAGGTTATTTCAAATGATGAAAGTGGCACTGTTCACTGTTCCATTACAGTTTTATTTCTGCTAGTCATATGCTTAGATTTTTTACAAACAGTTATATCGGATCTCATTATGAATTTAGAGAATTTTTAGTATGACCCTATAATCCACTACTTAAGAATACTCATTATAATTTTTCCCTACAAACAAACTGAAAAATTAATAAAAATTCTATTTCCACTGCACTTTAATTGGTTAAGCAGTAACACAGTTAATTTTGTTGTCTACTACCAAATGTCACTTTTGGATGACAACCTCATTATATTCTATAAGTTGGTGGAAAGTCCTATTTTTCACCATATAATAGAGGGTTAACACTAATTATATATTCGAAAGAATAATTAAAATACAAGTTAGATATTGCATGGAAACTGGAATATTATGTAGTCAGACAAGTAATAGAGTAAAGCAAATAAAAAAATTGGCTCCTTTAATAAAAATCAATTAGTAAACTTACGTTTTAGGTTGTTGAAGGCATTCCAACCATTCATTCTCTTCTTTGTTTTCTAATTCCAACTTTCGTTTTCCTTTTCTCCTTGAATAGACTTCTGAAATAGAAACTGCAAGAGAATCGGGACAGTAGTCCACTAACGAACGAAGTGTGTTGCCCATGATTCACTTCTCAATACTCAAGACAATAATACAACATACTCGACCATCGAGAATTCACAAATGACTGGTAAGAAAACTTTCTCTTTCCAAAAAGGACGCTCACTCATGTTGTGATTTCCTTTCCAAATAGACTTATCGTACTGGTACATACGATATCGCAATGACGCATCGCTGTCACTAATTATAAATTAATTATAAAGTTAGGATTAGACTAATTATAATTTCCTTGCCTCGATTAGATGCAACGTAAACACGTAAATTAGACTGTAAACAAATATCAGCTGATGAGAGTCAAAAAGGAAAGGAAGTTTACTTAATGGCTACCCAACACGTGGTGGGATGGTTTGTTGGTAAACACGGAAGGGGATAGGTTAATATAAAAATGTTTACTTCACAGCTATGTTCTCAATATAAAATACTAAGAAGTTTCCAATTTCACTATCGTATATCAGCTTGTTCACAGCTTCTTGGTAAAAACAATGTATGTGTTAATTACAATTTTGATTCCCATCGAAATTATCATCTTCATCAACCAACAAAATTACTCATAAAAACCGGTAATCAAGTCGGAAAAAGAAATCTATCAACAGATCAGTTAGTATCAATGCAAAGGAACATATTTACTTATCTTTCAGAATGTAGTGGTACTAATTATCTCAAAGAACTTGTTGTTTCTGTTCATGACACTACAGGGCTACCTTGGTGGGCTTCAATAATTTTCACCACTATAATGTTGAGGGTTTTAATTACTTTACCATTAGCTGCATACCAAGTAGGTGGTTTTTGAGTGAGTTATTTTTTGTGCTTTTGTGGCATAGAATAATCTAAATTATATTTCATTCAGAAATTTTCTCCAGGCTAGTATCGTTGCCAAAATAGAGAATATTTCAGTCCTTGAAATGCCTGATATAGCAAAGCAACTTCAAAAGGAGACGACTTTGAAAGCCAGGCAACTTAATTGGACAGCGCCTAAAGCAAATATGTACTACAGGAGAAATGTAACTTTTTTTATATACTTCTCAGTTATATAACTAGTTAAGTTTTATTTTTACTATCTACTTTTAAGTTTATTTACTCTATCCTTGTATTGAACAAGTTTTAAAATTCCCTTTGTTCAAAACTCAGTACTAAAATTGGCTTAAATCATTTTTTATTGTACTCCTCATATTTCATTGTTTTTGCCTAAAGTGACACGACTTGATCGATTATTATTACTTACTAGGTTATAATTCATTCCTTTTACTCTATTTTTTTTTTAGATAAAGAAACATTTTAACGAACTGATTGTTCGAGATAACTGTCATCCATTTAAATCGATAATCACTGTTTGGTTCCAATTGCCTACATGGATATTCCTCTCTGCAGCATTGAGGAATTTGGCTTATATGTTACCTCAAAGAAATGCTGGTACATTTTTTTTTTTAATAAATAGATTTTATTCAAAATTTATTTTTAGTATGATTAACTCATCCTCTAGGCTCATAAATATGTAGTTGAAAAGCCAAATTTTAATCTTATTTCTTTTATTTTATATAGCTGCCGAAATACTGTTTCTGCAACTTTCAGTGGGTGGTTTTCTTTGGATTCCTAATTTAACTCAACCTGATGGATTATTAATATGTCCTATTATTTTAGGATTATCAAATTTAGCTATCATTGAGGTAAAGTATCCCTTGATTACTATCGTTTTTAAGAACTTCATGAGAATAGTTCTTGATTTAAAATTAATTGATCTATTTTTATAGATACAAGCTATGATGAGATTACGTGAACCAACTAGACTCCAACGTTACGCTACAAATTTTTTTAGAGGTTTTAGTCTTTTATTAGTTCCTATATCAGCTACTGTTCCATCCGTAAGTGTACATCTGATCAATCAAAACTATTGTGATTACTTGCATGATTTAGGTCCCTTATTTAAAATAAGCTGTAATTAATTAACTGCAAGATATCAATGGCTGAGCCCCTTTCACTTGCTATCTAGATATTTTTTATATTTCGGAAATAAAAATTGTACTAAGACATTTTGAATAGGTATGTAGAAGCATTTATTAGAATTTATTTATAAAGAATTTTCTGCAAATTTATTTCATATTACGAATGCAATTAAATTTTGATTCAATAAATATCAATACTTTATTGGCTATTCTTATACCCCTAATGAAGGCCTACATTGTATGGAAAAGGGTAGAGAATGTTAATAAAACACCAATGTTATTTTATGTTTTATCTACTCATTGACTGATCCGCTATTAAAATGTTCTAGGTTCATTTATCTCTGTCAATCATAGTTCAATGATTTAAATTTTTAAAAATCCTGATATAAGTACTGCTTCATCCATAAATAACAAAAAATAGTTTCGAAATTAAGACCAATATTTAATGCTGGGGTATTATTACCCTTAAAATTATCAGACCTGGCGGTAAAATTTTGTTTATAAATGTGCTTTCCGTAAAAGCATTTCTTGGTAATTACATCTTCCTCACTAAAGGTTGATTATAACAATTGAATGAAAATAATTTATCTTAAATAGGTAACTGTTTAAGACCAGTATAACCTCTGAAAGAATCATTTTATCGACATTTATTAAATATGAAAAAATCTGTTTGATTTAATTGTTTTCTACTGTTCAATTGTATAATTTTAGTCATTTGCAACTTTCAGTGTCTATATTAGTTAAAAAAAAAAAATCAAAATTTACTTTATCAATAAATATTATATTTATCTTACTACAGTAAGACATTTTTTTTATTATAATATTAATGTGGCATTTTCTTGTTAAATTATTTCAGGTATTATGCTTATATTGGACAACATCCAGCATCGTTGGATTATGTCAAAACTTATTTCTTATGTCAAACCGAGTGAGAAAAGCATTGAGGATACCCGACACTCCGTCAACACATGACTATCCCTACCAACAACTGATTTATGAAATTAAAGAAAAGAATAAGAGATTATTTAGTTTTATTGGAAGAAAAAAGTAGTTTAAATTATGCAAATTGTTATTTATTTATTTTGTGTAAATACATGTATATAGTGGCAAAATGTCTGTTAAATAACTCAGTGAGCTGACCTTTAACCTATTGTGATAAGGATACAGAGCGACCCTGTTAGTCACTATCTAAACGATATCCTTTCTTCATCTATGTAAGATTTTCCCTTCAGTAGTGATTCTGAAGGGGTCCTGATAAGCAAAGGACATGTTTGAGAAATATATATCAGTTTGTTTAGTTACACTTTTTTATTTTATAATCGATTGTTACTCTTTGCAAACTGTGAGTACCCTTTTTGCAGTATGGTGTGTTTTTTTTTAATCATGATTGGTTTAAAAAAAAAAAAATTATTTTTCTAAATATAGCTTAACACAGAAAGCAATGGGTGGTATGGTTGGGGCTGCCCCCCTCACGCTACTGGACAATTTCCTTATTTAGGCGACTGCAAGAGGTTTTATAATTGCTACAACGGACGAGGCCAGCTCTCTATCTGTGCACCTGGAACATTATTCAATCCTAGCACCTTAGAATGTGACTTTCCCAGTAAAGTTACTTGTCTTAAAAATGATGACAAAAGTAAGTAAAGAATTCAAAATTAAATATATGATATATTTAGCCACTAAATTATATGATTAAATAAAAAATGTTATTTTCTTTAAATACATTTCTAATTATCAACACAAATTAACATTTTATGTAATAATTACATGAGTAAATTTTCCTTTATTAATTCTCCATACAAATATATATATTTTTTTATTCGTTGTTTCTTAACAACACATCAACTGCCTAGGCTGCAGAAAAAGTTGATTGTATTAAAATTCAATGATGTTTTCATATCCAGTCTTCATAAAAATAAAAGTTAATTATGCTTCATAAAATGAGGCAGACTTTCCTATTTATTAAGATTTCTTGAAATCTGTACTTTTCAATGAATTCAAATTTATCATAAATGTAAGTTACAATATTTACTGTCAAGCAATTTGCCATAAGTTCCATTTACAGAGGATTTGGCAACATTGTTTCCCACAAATTTTGATATTTTTCAGAGAAACCTCATGTTTCTTATTCCCAATATTTCTCACAGCCTCATGGTTAAGATCTAAGAATGTCCTCAATATTAGTTGATACCAAACGGAAGTTTGGTTTTGTTGCTGAAATTCTTCTATTTTAACTGTTTAATGTTTTATGGATTTTTTTTTTCTATCTTGTTACTTCAATAGTTGTTTTTCAAAAACAGTTTTTGCTAATGATGCATAGGATAAACTCACGTTATTAAAAAAATAAATAAATAAAGGTGTAATTTTTACCAGATTTTTTAATAATGTACAAAAAATCTCAAACCAAAAATTGTGTTTGATTATTTTAATTTTATGCCTGATAAATTATTATAAACCCAATTTTGTTAAGAAGTATGTCCCCATTAGATATTTTAAAAGAAAAAATATGGTGGTCTAAGTTATGTGCTTGCTTCTGAGCACATAGCTGTTTTTTCCAAAATAATTTGTTCACTCTATTCTGTGTTAATCGTCTTAAATACATTTTTTTTAGTGTTGACAAGTAAAAATTTCTCTTTGAAATAGAACAATAATAAAATTTTAATTCTGTGTGTTTCTTTTAATTTTCAAAAGTGTTTATTAGTTCTTCGTAAAAATTTTATTTTGATAACCATCATTCAAAAATTTCTGTCTTATGACCATAAAAATTAAATAAAATGATTCTTATTTACAGTTATTAAAAAACTAATTTAAAAAAAAAACTGCTAGCATAAATGGTAAACGTAAATTATAACAATAACAACTAAAACAAAAAATAAAACTGTATGTACATATTTTAACACCATCCACCAAAAAAATATATAAAATGTTCATATTTTTAAAATAAAATCGCCTAAAAGCTACATTAATATTTTTTCTTTCCTGGAAATCAGTTCTACTTGAATGGACCAACCAACTTTAACAAAGCCATTGAGCCCAAAATGAAAACTTTTTGCTTTTTTTAAAATGTTTTTTGAAATAATGATCCGGAAATAAATATTTTTAAAAAATCTAAAAATACGTATTAATTGGTTATTTATGAATTTCTTGATAACCCGTTTTGTACCTAGAATATGATTATTTAAAGAAAAAAAAAATTAAAGCTGAGAGTAAAACATTATTCTAATGATAAATTCTTTATTGATTAGTAATTTAGAAAGGAAATATTATTTTTAAATAAATTAGTTGATCAAGATATTTCAGCTGGTTGTTGAAACTATTCCTTGCTCTAATAGCATTAACATCCAGGAAATTCTAATGAAATATTTTTCGGATTACTTCTGATCCTGGAATAGCTTTTTACAAAAGAAAAATGCGCAATTTTATTTGAATCTTCCAAAAAAGATCTAATACTTTTCTATTTAGCTTGGAAACGTAAAAGTAGACTTTAAAAAGCAGAGCCGAAAATATAATGTACGCAATAAGGGAAATATTTGTGAGGTTTTTTTTATTGTTATAATTTTTTATTTATTTATTTTTTTGGTTGACTAAGACTTCCCTTGAAGTCCTATATTGACTGCCCTTGCCGTTAAAATCCAGAATTTTTCTAATTTTGAAAAAAAAAAAAAATGGCATTGGAACACAGGGATTGAAATAAGTGTTTGCGCTAAAAAGCATATTAAACAAGTTACTACACTTTATCACACAATGAGCCGATTATAGATAATGATGAAATTAATCAGAGATCACTGACATCATTGGTACGCAAAAAAAAAACAACAAATAAATAAGACCTAAGTAATAATGTGGACATCGTTGGTGATATCAGCACCGAACCTTCGGGTTCACTAAGCCCTATTATTATTATTATTTACTTATAAATAGCACAATATATATTATATTTATACAGAATATCTCGTAAGTAGAGCGAAATATTACTTGGAGTGATGGCATACCTCAACAGTTACAAAAAAGTGTATATAAACAATGGTCCGATTTTCAGCGGAAAAGTGGGAAATTTAAGTTTTTAGTTTATCATTTTCAATAATGAAACATTGTGATTGAACAAAAAATTCAAAAACTTAATACCCTCTCAAAATTTGAGCTTATACGTTTCAGAATACGTAGAATTCGAAAAACGAAAAAACTTTTTTTTGTCCGTCCGCCATCCGCGCATTTTCTCCGAAACTACTGGACCAATTTTTTTTTTCAAATTTGGATTTAAAATTAGAGGTAACCCAAGGATGATCCTACTTCATCGACATTTCTATACGCCTTTTCCTTTCAAGATGAAGACTGAAAAACCTACGTTGCTATAAAATGTAGCGCCTAAACGAATTTGGCTAAAGTCTAATTCTTGATGCTCTTTAAATTTATCTATATAACATACTTCAACAAAAAGAAGTTGGAAAAAAAGTTACATGGGGGTAGTAAAGTTACATTTAGGAATAACTCAAAAAGTATACACTTTTTCGTTATTGTTGTACATGGTTATTTAAAAATTGACTAAAATTAATAAAATTGGGCTGAAACCCACCCCAAAATGGCAAAATATATTCATGTTTTACAAAAAAAAACTATCTCTTAAAATATTCTTGTTCGTATAATTACATTTAATAGGACTTCAAGGACCATTTAAACACCATTTCATATAGGTAGTTAATTTCTTTCTAATTAATTATTGTTATATACGGGCTGAAGCCCTCCCAAAATTAAATCCTGGATCAGCTAGTGTCTAGTACCAACCAATCCAATATGGACGGTGTCATGTCTCTTATGTTCAATAAACTAAAGCATGCAATTACATGCACTGCATTCATAGTTTTTCCCGAATTACATAGAGTGCAGAGTCTGTTTTCTGCCATTTCTATTCTATGTAAATGTTTAGTAACGCATTCGTCGGCTGTTATCATAAGAAACTCTGCAATCGCTTCCTATTTTAGGCAGATCTACAAGTACCTGGTTTTCACGAAGCAATTTTCTCCATTGCTTCTCATCAGTATCAGTATCAGTATAAAATTCTCAACTTCTCCGTTGTCATCAAACTGAGCTACCTAATTTATCTTTTCATAGGTGCAGACCTGTGTAAATTATTAACCAAAGCAACATGAACTTGTATTATTCAGTTCTGTTTTGCTATCATGCAGAGCATAAAATTCTTAATTTTATTTAATGACTTAACTACTTATCACTTATCTTTTATATAAATGATAAAGTATCAGAACTGCATATTATGTCCTCTTCGGTTGTTTGAACTAGATATAATAGTCACATTTCCTCTTGATTAAGTATCTAACTCTATTTCTGGTTATAGAGTATAGTTATTTAATAAAATCAAAACAGCTTAATTATATTGGTGTTTGCCAATCGAGAAGTTGGGGGAGATTTAGCATGGTAGGGAATTCACAATAAATCTAGCTAGAGTTATCATCAGTTCTAAACTTTAGTATCTTAATTCAGTTTTTATAAGTCGAAATATCGCTTATTTTGACAGTTAAAAGATTTAAAAAGGTTTTTATAAGAGTTTAGCCGAACAGAAATGTAATGCTTAACCCTTACAGTCCTGTTGAATCTCCGGATGGGGGAGGGGGTTTCAGCCTAAAGGCTCGGTCACACAGAACGCGATATTTATCGCGGCGATATAGCGCCACAGTTGTATTACTATCTATTCTACTATAACAGTCACATAGAGAGCGTTACGCTACAGCGATACATGCTGTAGCGCCGGGGCCGGCGATACATTGATACAAATTACAAAAATATCGCCCTCCTTCGGCGTTATTCCCTACCTAATGTAGGCAGAAAAGTTAGCTAATACCCAAGTTAATAGGATTATTGCAGGATTATAACGGCGTGTTCACACAGAAGGCGTTATTTATCGCGGCGCTACAGCGCTACAGTTGTATTACTATTTTCCACTATAGCAGTCACACAGAGGGCGTTACACCTCAGCGATACATTCTGTAGCGCCGGGGCCGGCGTTACGTTTGAAAAATATTACAGTGTATCGCCGGGTCGGCGTTATGTTTGAAAAATATTATAGATACAAATTACAGTTGAAATTATTTAGTGGTAGTATTCATATAGATATGTAAAACACCGAATTATTTATATAAAAAGTGAGGAATTGTCCATTTTTATTTGATATGACACCTCAAGCAAATATTAAAAAAAATTATTAAAAAGGAGGTTACATGGAAAAAAATTGTGGAAGAGCTAAATATCACAAGTAATGTATTAATTGATATTATTATTATAATTATTGAACATTATAATAATTATATGTTATATTCTTTTTTATCTTGAAATCATTTAAAAATTATACTTACGTTCTTTTACTAATTTTAATTTTGCCTATACTAAAGACATAAATGATAAAAAAAAAATCTGTGTATATTGCATATTTAAAACGGTTGAGGAACAGATAATAACTATCCAAGATATATATGGCAATAAAAGAAATTCGTTACTACGAAATTAATATTAAATAGATATGCCATTTGAAGTAAATAATAATTTGAAATAAATCTGAAGTTTTACATAAGAAAAAGTAGAACGAAAGTTCATTATTAAAATCTCTTCTGGAATATTAAAAAATTA